ATCACATTGAGGAGGGGGAGTGAGTGGGCAACTGTGCTTAACTGTCCATTGGGGTTAACCCACAACAGGTATGTATGGATAATCCTTGTTCTCAGGGTGACCATCCCTGTACTATTCCCTGCTGCTGCTTTCCAGAAAACCCCAGGAATTTGTGGTCCCCCAGATGCCATCAACATTGATCTCCAGTGGTTACTCATATTCCCAAATGTCAAATGCACGTAAAGTTCACATATAAAAATAAGAAATGTCAAGCTGAGGGGATGGTCCCTTTACCAAACCTGTCTAGCAGGTGTGATAGCCCAAGATGTTCAGAAAGCACATCATATACCTTGTCCATACCCCATGGAGAGGGGCAGGAGAGGACAATGCTCAGCATCGCTCTGGGCACGTCACAACATATGGCAATGTAGGTTTTGCTCACAACAGGCTGTGATGGGTTTTTGACAGGCCAGACAAGAATCCTGACTCCATTCAATATAGCAGGGTAAAAGACTGTTTCCTGGTCAGCCTGGAAGCAGTTTTTGGTAGACATGTCTGTGGTAAGCAGTAGCAGTCACAGGGCTCTAGCCTGTTTTGGGCTTCTGCTCAATGCTATATTATTTCCACTGAATATCATGTTATGAATTTATACAGCTTAACCATTAATTAGTACACAAATTCATTAGTACATTAATTAGTACATTAATTTACATAGCTTAGCATTTTCCCCTCCATATTGTGCAGACATTTCAGAACATCCCTGCCTGAAGAGTAAGGTGTAGGTGGAACACATGGAGATGAGAGCAGAGACCATAGCTCACAATTGAATTATTTATTGGGTTTTGTAGATGACCAAGCCCCTGCATAGGGGATTTGAGAGGACTGCATAGGAAGGGGTGAATACCCCAGAACCTGGCAGCTGTGATGTGCCATGGGTGTGCATCCCTCGCCCTCTGTGGAGGCCATTTATCTGTACTTCTCAGTCAGAACAGAGGAAATACTGGACAGGAACTTGTCCCACGCAGCATGAACTTCTGGGGTGAAGTCGCTGGGATAGCGGGCAGCCACGGAGCAAAGGATACAGTGGGAAAGCAGCTGTAGTAGAAAACAAGATTAAATCCATCATAATCAGTTACAGATGTCAGCCTAGGGGTCTGCAGACCTTGGTCCCTGTGTGCTCTGGGATGACAACTACGTGTCCCAAGCAGGTAGCGCTGCTGCCTGCTGCTATGTGGGAAGCAGCAGAGCTCCCTTTGGTATAGGGCAAAAGGCACTGCTTGATACCACTCCCTGTTTCCAAATGGCCCTTCCTTCCCCCCAAATGGAAATGCAACAAGTGGAAATTTTTATAATTTACTAAGACTTTGTTCAAGATAGGTGATATAACCTGATAAATTGCAACTAAGGCAGCGGAGACTTGGTCCATCTAGCACAGACGACAGGAGACCGCCTGAATAGTTCTTTCCTTGAGCTAAACCAGATCTTTCATTAAAAGATCCAGTCTCAGGTTAAAAAGGTGGGGAACAAGCAGCAACATGAGTTGACAAGGCCATGCAGCGCAGTTGGGATCATGCTGCCATTAGCCAAAATGATCTGTGGTCTCTAATTCTGTGATGGCAGTTTTCATCCCTGAAAGCCTCTGTGCTCACTTACCTTGAAGTTCACTGGGTCCACCCTGAGGATGTAAGCATGCAGCTCGCTGAGTTTGGCCAAAGCGCCTCTAATGTCATCAATTTGCTTCACGGCTTCCCCAATGGCATTCATTACCTTGGAGCCATGACCACGAAGCTGACCTGAGCCTTGGCTGAGGTCAAAGTGAGGGAAGTAGGTTTTTGTCTGAGGGTAGCTGGAGAAAAGCCTAGAGGAGAACATGAGAATGAGATTTAGCAGGGGAAGGGGCATTCATGAGATGGTGAAACCCCAGAACAAGTGCAGTGTAAGCTGCCAGCTGCAGAAGTGTACTCCTTCAGCAGTTGCAATAGAGCTTTGGGAGCTTGAACCATGCATCATGGGCCTCCTGCTCTTAAACCTCTTCTGCAGTATGTGCAGATTAGACAGTGGGCTAATCTATGCATACTAGAGAAGAATGAAATGTTAAAAATAATTTTAAACTTAATGTATTTTTAACATAAATAATAACCCCAAATTGTCACTACATTTCTTATATTACATTATAAGCCAGTTTGTAGGATCTTCAAAGTACTATGAGCTGAATGAATCAGAATCAATATGAGTGGTACTCAGAGTCCTGGAAGGTGTATGACAGTACTTTAAATAAGCTATAATTAACATTTAAATAACTTTGAATAACACCGTCATTTCTGAACAATTTCCATATTATCCCTTTTGTGCCAGCTTGCTTAATTTGTATGAACTTTGGATTGCTGTGCTATCCTTCATGCAGGAAGCCCAGTTGTGTTGTTTCCTAATGGTTTGTTATTTATCCAACTGGAAAAATGAAACATCAGTATTCAGTGAATTTAGTGTACAGCTATTCTCTTAATGCCTAGAAATTGCAAGAGAAATTGCATCACTTGTACAATAAACCACTTCAAGTTCATTTCCTAACAGTGATAACTTTGTTTCAGAACACCGAGTATGAATGACTTTGAATTCCTTGCCAGGGGTCCTGGCTATGAATTCTTCTGAATTGCTATAATGGGAAATAAAGCATAAGAATTGCTTAGAAAATTATGTTTTGCTGTAAGATTTTAAAGCCATCTATTAGTATTTAGTGGCACAGATATAATTCCAGAAAATTACATACTAAACAGCATAGAGGTCATCCATCAACTCCCACCACTCCCAGTGTGCTCTCAACTCATGCAAGTTTTACACGAGATACATCCTAACAGCAAAGCCAGAGGAGGCTGTGGGGGACTTACCTCTCCAGTGATTCTGCCCCAATGGCATCGGCTTGGCTAGCCACCTTTGCCCAGATGGTGGCCACGGCGGCCTTCTCGGCTTGAGTCAGCGTCATTGTGCAGGAGGGTGCGGGCTCAGGGTCCGTGCAGCGAAGACTCGGAGCAAGTTTGGACTCATTGTCCTGGCAGCCCTGCTTATAAAGAGGAAGGGGAGAGTGGACCTTGGCGCCTGTCCACGCTCATTGGTCACTCCAGAGACCCACCCATGGATGTCGGAGACTCTTATCTCCCTGTGAAACTATGCCTATTTTGGCAAGGGTCAGTGCACTGGCCACCTTGCTTGCTGGCCTTATCAGCTTCTTAACATAATGGCCGTGTGGCCCAAAGAAATTGTCTGGACACATCTTGATACATGAACAGAGAGATAATGCTGGAAAATTCCAGTGACGGAGCTTTAGGACACATCTTTAAGCTGAGGAGGATATGGAATTCAAACGTACTAAGGAGCTTGAAGAAAAATGTGCATTTTCTGCCTTTCTTCACAGATATGAACACAAGACTGGGCCTTTCTGTGCCATTTCATACACTTCCAGTATATATGGCTGCCACGTGGCCCAGTATTTCATATAAAATGATTCATAAGTAGTGCTAGGAACAGGCTGGAAGATGTGCAGTATAGCTCAGAGGAGGAAGGTCATGAGACCCTGATTTTGTGGGAATCAGTGGAGATTGTGCCATTTGCTTCAGCAGTGCCAGGACTTTACTTTGCCAGCCTCTTGCAAAGAATTAGGGATGCACCTCACAATTGATATTGCTAATAACAGCACCAGTAGTAATGATTCCTATGGATACAGAGAGAGGGAGCTTATGAAACTGAGTAGGGTCCTAAAAAAGTAATGTGTGTATGAGAAAGCCCAGTCAGACTTTTTTGGTTTTCATCACTAAATGCCTCATACTGCACATACTTCATTTCTAGCTGTGTGATCTTACTGTTAATTATCCCTTGTACTGTAAAATAGCCCTCAGCACCCCAGCCAGTGCTGGCGTGTGCTGTGTTACATGCTGGACACGTGCAGGAAAGCCTGGTCCCACTATGGCTTGTAGCTTCAGAGCATGGACACACTTGATGGGTGAACAACCAAATGAGCAAAGGGAAGACCATTACAAGTCTGTAATCACAGATAAGTGGGCAAAGTGTCAAAGAAATACCCTACTGGTGATGGTTGCTGCTGACCCTCAGGCAATGAATATTCTGCCAGCACATGAAGCAGAGGTAAATCTGTCACCTCGATAAACTACAGCAGCAGCCGTACACATTATCACCGAGTGCTGGCAGCCGTGCATGGAAACCTGGCTGGCACAGTTAGACAGATCAGATAGTGTTCCCTGCCCAAATAGCCTTGTATGCTTGTGCTTAGAAAGCTGAATGTGTATAAGCCAGGTTCCTCAGCAAGACATGTCTGCATTTCACAGCGATGCTATTCAGTGCTACAGAGGATGCTCCCCAGACAAGGTTGTCCTGCTAAGAGGAAAGCCGTTCTAGGGATCTAATGATGGTCACGTGTGCTTTGGAGTATGTCCAGAGTACCATTATCTGTACCAAAGTAGCAATGCCAGTGCGATCTCACCACCCAGTCCCCTTAAGTGTCACACAGGAGCATGGACTGAACTTGGAGCCTCTCTTGGGAGCCACAACATGGCTGTGCAATGCTGCTGGGCAGGGGAACCTGACTGCCAGGGTTTGGGGTGGGAGCTAGGTACTCCTGTGCTGTGCTTATGGTGGGGGTTTCTTCAATGCCTTCACATGGGGACAGGTCTCTCCTCTCTGGGTAGACTCTGCTCTTCTGGGGCTGTGGCTCTGTTTTCATGTCCTGGGGTCAGGTGAGAATGGACCAGTGGTGCTAGAGAAGTAGTAGGGATGGGGTCAGGCATCTGCTGCTTTATCTCTGGTGTCCCCCGTGTTCTGGCAGCCGCAGTGGCACCCGCAGAAGGGCTTTGACCAACCCTTGTGCTTTGCACTAGGCTCTGAATTTCAGCCTCTCTGCATGTGATCTGTCAGATGAAGCAGGAGAAATCTTGGGCTTTCCCAAAGGGCAGGCACAAAACGCTTGATGTTTCTTGGTCTGCAAGCCTGGCTGGGTTTGGTGATCTTGTATTATCATCTTCTTTGTGGAGACCAACAATTTATCTGGGATTTCATTGAGATTGTGTTCAGTACCGCAGCTCCCTCCTCAGCCCTCCTGTCCGCTGGCTGGATAATTTGCTTCTCTCAGCACTTCACTTTAAGAGGGCATAAAAGAAGGGACTCACTTGAGACTCAGTGAAGACAGTCACGTTATAATAAGGAATATTATCAGAGTATTCTTTGTACATCCTAGCTTTGATGAATCCACTGAAAACATGTCCACTGAAAACCCAGAGCTAACTCCCTCTGGCTACAGAGATGCAGTGCAGAGCAGCCTCCCATTAAAAGTACTTCTGATGGCATGGGCAGCAGTCCTTCAGTCAGGGCACAGGAGAAGGCAATATTCAATGCATACAGCTTAAATGGATGGAGGTATCAAGGGAGACTCTATTCATCATCCCTTGCTACAGTCATTAAAAATACCTTTCATTTTTCCCATAGAAAAATTGCTTTGAAAATAAAGTTGTGGTTAAATACAGATTTATATAATGTTTTTGTCTCCTCCCCAAAATGCAGCCTCTTACATTGCCCGCTGAATGGCTGAACTCCAAGCTTTCCTCAGTGAGAGTGCTTTTAATCAGAGGTCACTCAACGCATGAGGGAAGTGACTGTGACCCAGTCACTATATCCCAGATATACCCAGGGATAAGGCAGACACCATCAGGACTCCTTCCTGTTTTGCTGCCTGAACATTGATCCTCTATGACTGTAGGATTAAGGTCTGTGTAGACATGAGGATCAGAGTGATGCCTGCACAGGCGAGCTTGTCATTGCTGAAATCATTATGCAGTTTGAATTAATTTTCTGAGAGTTACTCTTGCCCTTTCACAAAAGCCTGAGCAGCCAAAAGACGACTGTGGTTTGCTAGAAGGAGCTCATTGCTTGCCCAGGATCAAGGCTGCACTGGGGAAGGCTGCAGGAACCCCTCAGTGATGTGCCTGGTGGGAGAAGTATGATCCTCAGCCATGTGCTGCAATGTGACATGGAGAGTGATGGTTTCTGTCCTTGCATGGACCTCTCAGCCAAGTTCACCCATCCCGATGCTCCAGCTGGCTACGGGGTAGGGAGACGCAGAGGTCCTGGCCGTTGAAAAACATGGTCACTGGTGTTCCCCTGGTCACAGAACTGATACTAACACTATGTCCTCTCTGAAACCACACCAGACCTCCCTTCCTCTTTTGCTGCTGTTTCTCATAGTTACGATTCACAGACCTGCAGCAGAATGTCCACCCTTGTACAGATTATGAATATTTCCCATGAACCTGTGAAATATCACCAAAGGTGACACCAGAGGTGATTTATTATTAACATAGGTTGATATTAATTCTGTTCCAAAAGCAGGCTGCCAGATTTTCTCATTTTAAAAGACCCAAGTGAGCAAGAGGCCTGTTTGCTAGCTATAAAATGAGGTTATAATTTCTGTCAGCCCTGACTGTAAATCCAGTGACCAATTGAATAGCACCTCTGCGAGATCAGGGATAACTTTCCCCACTGGCCTGTATTCTGCACAGCAATGATCTCCTCCTCGAAGGGCATTTCTGTGAATAAGGTCACAAATATGTCTGCTCTAACTCTGAAAAATGTTGTGCATTTCCAAGTTTTGGAAATCTTAAAAGTGTAATCTAAAACCTAGCTTTATTCTTTGATTTCCTACCAGCTTGCAACAGTTTGTTTTAACTAAACCAAGAGCCATTAGGAGCTGTAAATGAAAAATATGTCTGTAATTTATTGTTTAAGAAAGCAAAATTATGCTTCAAAGCAGACACACTGGGAAGTTTTAACATAGCTGCCTGGCGCTGGCACAGGAGGGGTGTTCTGCCGTGATAATATGACTGCTCTGTAATCACCCTCAGACAATTCTCTCCCCACAGCAACACCTTCTCTTGCTTCAATTGTTATCGCCGCCCTTGTGGAGAATGGCCCTGCAGATTACGCCCATGCCATGCGTGCTCATCTCCCTTTTCAGCCACCCACCTCTGTCTGATGTCCCCGGGAGGAACTGCAGAGTAACATCTAGAGTGGGGATATCTCAAGAAGGTTCAAATATCCCAATATTGCAATCAAATGCAGAAAAAATTACATGCAAAACCCTCTAACATAATTGCTGATAATTTTCTGATCTCAATTACAAACAGAATAAGTTGAATGCATGAAGACAGCTGCCAGCTGTTAATAATGTAGAGGCAGGAGTAACTTTACAGGAGCCACAAAGCAAGTTGTATTAGTACTGTAAAGCACCTTGAGATCTTGCAATGAATGTAAGAAACAAGATCAAGCACTGCTTTCCAGGAGCATGGAAGCCAAAAAGTTTGATTTCCATGGCCTGCCTCCTGCAGGCACCCTGTAATGGCTCACTCAAACCCTCACTGCTGTTCGCCACCAGTTTTTCCTGAAGTCTTGGACTCGTAATGGCTGAACTGGCAAATTCACTAAAAAATGACCCAAAATGGCCAATGGGAAGGAACAGGAATGGGCGGCCCAGGCCACTGGCAGCCCCTGCATGAGGGCTCTGGGGCTGGTACCATGTCTGGGGAGTCAGGAGGACATCACACACAGGCTGGGTGCACAGCTGAACTGAGGGTGCTGGAGGCACTGGACTGTGGGCAAGTGGAGCACTGGAATAAACTAGGGGTACCAGGCACAGGAAGTGGTGGCCATGGGCATGGCAAGCATTGGTCTAAACTGGGGACACTGGGCTGATTGAGGGGGGTGCTGGGGCAGGAGGTGAGGTGCTGATCTGAGCTGGGGGCACTGGGCTTTACCAGAGGACAGGGCTGTGGAGGTGCAAGGTGCTCGTCTGAACTGTGGCACTGGGCTGTACCGGAGGACAAGGCAATGTGGGTACTGGGCTGAACCCAC